ATATCAATATCAGCAAAGGAAAAAAATACTCGAATTTTAGCCATTTGTGTGCATCATTTTATAGGTATAATTCTCTCCAATCCCAAACTTGAACCTTCTAAAACCTTTGTACTTTAGAATAATGCAAAAAAAAGAAAAGAAAAGAAAGGTTTTTCATTTCTTAATCGAAAAATTAGTAAAGGTTTGAAGAAATCCAAATAATAGAAAAGGAAGATAATATATTACAAACTTGAAGCCGGCTTCCTTGAGCTCCCTTAAGAAAGTGCAGAGACCTCTCTCTCGAATAGCCTATAAAACACTCTTCATGACCGTCGTTGTTATCTCCACCTCTTTCTCTCTCATTCGCTCCATCTCTACTTGTTTCCGTTTTCACTTCTCACTCTCCTGTATTTCCTATCCGAAAAACACATCATCCTTTTTTTATTTAATTTTCTAATGAAATTAAGAAATTACCTCTTGTCAAAAGCTTCAACTTTTTTTCATCTCTGAAAATTTGTTTGAGAAGCTTCTGTTTAGCTCAGCAATGGATTTCATCGTTTTAGTTTATTCCAAATATGAACCAAAAGGCGTGAAACATATGTTAACTTTGCATAATAGAATCATAAATTGAATACCCTAAACATACTAAATAAAAACCAAATTTGCCAAGAGCAAATCAAAGAACGAATCAAAGATCTAATCGAAGAAAAAAAGGAAATACTTGAGGTGGCAACTAAATTACGTCCTAGCCTAATCGTGACCGCTTTTCTAGGCTATTGATCTATATGCTTATGGGAAAATTCTGTCACGCGTTACATCTCCATGATCGCAAAAGCTAGATCTAGAAAAGAACATTTTTTTTCCCACAAAAATGATAGAAAATCGAAAATAATTTTTTTCTCATATAAAATACTAATTGATATTATCACGTGGTGTCATCTAATATTTATTGCTAATTTAAATAGTTCTACAGACGGAAGAATCAAAATATGACAACTTGAGCTAGAGATTCAATTATTACTTTTTAAAATTTAGATACCAGAATAGAGTTTGAGTCAAACTTTAGAAATTAAATATGTTATTAAACCTTCTAAAAATTATTTATATATAAAGATTACTAAAATATGTATGTATGTACATACAAATATATACATAGAGATATTAGATTTTTAAAATCTAAAAGTTTCTTTTTTAAAAAAATTACTCATACTTTATTGAAATAAAACTAAACTAAAAGGTAAACGAAATTTCAAGAAAACATACAAAAGAAACAAAAAAAAAAAGATCATATTATTAAAAAAAAAGGAGGGGAAGGTTTGAGCAACTTTATATTTAACTGTAACAATACTATGAAATCTTAAAAAATGAAACTAAAACACCAATGGTGTAAAATCATCATTCAACCGCAACAAGCCTATATATAAATAAAATGAAAAAAAAATAAAAAAATAAGAGATAAAACCAATAAAAAAACCTTAAAAGAAATATAAATTCATGGTATGATCTAATAATGTTTTGTGCTTTTTCGTTATCTTACAATTAAAAGAAATTATTTGATGAATTGATAATAAATTTTTTTAATTTTACAAGTGGGATTAAAATAATTACGTATATCTCATTTTTTAAAATTAATTTTTTTTAAATATATACTAAGAGATATGTATTACAATCTTAATCTCATTTGTAAAATTAAATAATTTTGCTGTTGATACATTTGATAATTTCTTTACAATTAACTAGTTAGTAAAATATAAAAAAGTTTTCAAATGAAATTGATTTTGTATTTTTTTCAAATATTTAGTTATAAATCATTAATTAATAGAATATGAAAATTTAAAATAATATATTAATGATTTTTTAATATTTCACGTGTGAATCGTTTTACTTAAATTCAATGTTTTGTAGAATATTAAAAGTTTTTTTAAATCAAATTGAGAATAAAACGTCGAAATAAAGTGACAGGTTACGGTATTCACCAGGCCTGTTGGCTGGACTTGATCCTGACCTAGCCTTGAAGAAGGAACAAAAAATCAGTGACTTGAGTCTAGGTTCAAATTATCATTTTATTTTTCAATCGAATTCAGGATAATCTCAACTATAAAAAAAGAAAAGATTTAAATTGAAAGAGCAATATCATATGGATTTTTTTGTGTTTTTAATTAAATTTAAAAGTAAAAATGATAATTTTAAAATTTTGATTTATAACTTTTTTTCTTATTAAATATATTTTTTAAATGATTAATCTATAAATTAATTTTTATATTCATTATATAGAAATTTAACTGCATTATATAAATATGCTAACTTTTTACATTATATTTTTTTTAAATTAATTTATTTGAAGGTTACGAATTTAAAGAAATTAATGTGTGTAATATCTTCATTAATGAAATAAGTGTAAAAATTAAAAAAGAAAGGTATAAGAAAAAATTAAAAATTAAAAAAATAACAAGTGTAATAAAATCAAATTAAACCATAATTAAAAATAGATTCTTGGCAGGTAGCCCGAACTTAAAGAATAATCTAGTGCCAACAGCAAAACAAAGGAAAAAAACATATAAAAAATGTCCTCTCAAAGTGGTAGATTGCCACCAAGCAACAAAAACGTCCGAAGAATCTGCGAAGAGGCAAATGGTTCTTCGAAGATATTAATAAAATTTGGGGTCTTAAATGGCCAAACATATACCTCTTCTGATTCTTTACCATTGAGTATACTGATCAGTGCATGGGAAAAACTACATGTGAATGGTCCACACCTTGTCGCATTTCTTCTGATGGCAATCTCAAGAAAGAAAGGGAAAGTCGAAAACGATGCAACCGAATAATTAATAATCATATAATGCTTTAATTTAATTTTATTAGTTTATGTAATAATTTTTTAAAGATGATATTTAATAGATATGATATTTAAATTTTAATATTTAAATTTTTTATTTTTAAATTATAATTTTATTTTATATAAAAATTAAAAGTAATGGTTAATTTTATATCATTAAAAGTTCGGAAAAGATTAAGTTTAAGTTTCAAACTTTGAGTTTGATTTAATTATTTATTATATTTATCTAATTAAATTAAATTAAATTATATTAATTTATTTATTTGATTATTCAGCAATATTATATTTAATTATTATGATAATTATTTATAATTTAAAGAAAATATTGAATTTTGAAGAGAGAATGGTTATAATAATTTTTTTGGGACAACCTTTGGCAGCTCAAACATGATCGGTGTCCAAAAAGTGCATACGTACTAAAAAAAAATTTATCCATTTTAATAAATTTTTATAATCTGGCAGATAAAGGGTGCGTGTCCTTCCAACAACTGTCATATGTTTCCAATTGTAGTAGCTTAATTAAATTTTTATTTGGATAAAAAAATTAATATTAATAAATTTTTTGTTTAAAACAAAATTTTATTGACATAAACAAAATATAAAAGTTAGTCACGTGATATAATTAATAATATAAAAATTAAATAAAATTAGCTTTTCTTCTTTATTTTTTTATTTTTATCTTTTTAAGATATTTTTAAAAATTCAATTAATTATAGTTGGAAAACTGATTGATGAAATTTTATCATATAATTAAATTTCATTCATTGATAGATTCAATTAAGTTAAAATAAAAAATAAAAAAATTTAATCGATTATAATGAAATATTAAAATTTTAAATAATTATTAAATATAATTCAAGGACATTTTTATCGTATAGCATAAATTGAATTAGACATTTATATTTTATAAAATATTTCAATTTCATTCGTACTATTTAAATTCTAACTTTGGATGCATCGATAAAGATCGCAAATCCAACAAAACTTATCAGTTTAACACCAAATGAAAATCGATAACGATGTGAATATCATATTGATTGATCCCTGCATGTGGATGTTCATCTGACAACAATAAATTAGTTGAGTTGGCACATTAAGTTGATTTTCAATGTCGGATTTTATAATGAAATTAATTTAAAATATTTTTAAAAATTTGAGATAAAAATATTACGCAAATATCACGGAGAAATGAATGGTACACTACATTTATCTTATTATGTGGAAAATAGATAATAAAAACTTGAAAATTTAACCCGCGGTAAAAAACGCCAAAAATGGTGGATCACTTGGAATAATTGATGGTAGTGGAAACAGATATTTTGGTTGTGATATCGACTTTGTGGTTGGTAAGTCAAGCATTTGATTGGCCTAAGACTGACAAAAGGCCAGCCGTCCGGCCGCTCGACAAGGAATCTGTCCTCTTTAATTGCTGAAAAGATTGATTAGGGTGGAAAGAAAATTTAATGACTAATTGTGGGTTTTTATGTTATTCTCTTCTCCTCTAATTTGTTGAGGGTAGGCCAAAGAAAAATAATTGTGGGTGAATACATAGCATCAGCCTGTGCTCACTCTTAATCATTTTAATTAATACATAGCATACCCCAGCTCACGTTCACCAAAACATCACCGAAGTGTCAGTTGATTTCTTTTATATTTTCTTTTATTATTTATTGTTTTGATATAAAACTTTTAATTAATTTTATTAATTTGCAAATATAAATTATATTACAAAATCACATAATATATATCAAATTTAATCTAATATTATTAATGATATTTTTTTCTCTTCTCACCGTACCGCTATTGCTACTTTAAAAATGTTGATGCATTATGGGTTTCAATTTCATTGTTTTTATTTTTTTTCTCCAAAAGAGAATTTTTATTCAAAATAAAAAAATTCAAAGGTTTCAAAGATAAAAAAATTAGTCTTTAAAATAATAGTGGCAGAAAACAAAAGTAAAATGTAAAGCAGAGAATCAATAATTAGAACAAAATTATTGCCAATAAATATCAGTACGAATCTAACAAATGAAGGCGAAAAAATCTCATAATCACACCATATTTGTTTATTTTTCACGTGCTGTGATATACAATGAAGCAAGTGAAACTGATCACGCATCCTTAATAATTAAATAAAGAAAGAAAGCGATGTTCTTCTCTCTCCCTATATGTATAACATAGAATAGAGCTAGTTTTGCTAGTACATCCTTCTCCAATCACAACCTTAGATATATCTACTCAAAAAAAAAAAAAAAGACAAAATAAAGAATGTTGAAGCCACATGTTTACCATTCCAACACCAAAACCCTATTACCATTGCCTAAGCCATTTTTCCATGGGATTAGCTGTGCTTTTCTTCCAGTGCAGAACTCCAGGCCTCCTTCTTCATCCAGCAGAACAGGCAAAGCCTTTAAAGCTGGGTTTGTCCCAAAAAACATCAAAGCATCGGTAGCCAGTAGTGTTAGTGATGATATTGATGCGGCTTCCACTGTGAAAGCTTTAGTCACTGTTAAACAAACCGTTGGTGGTTTTCTCACCAACTTAGGGTTAGAAAGAGGACTAGATGATATCCGAGACTTGCTTGGTAAATCAATTCTCTTGGAGCTTGTTAGTGCTGAACTTGACCCAAGTAAGTGATGAAACTATGTTTTCGGGGTTTTCTAGGGAAAAGTACTAAAAAGTTTAGTAGCTTCTTCTTCTCTTGAACTATTTAATTTTTATGCAAAGGCAACTTCAAAGATCTTTGGAACTGGATTTCCCTCTCAAAAACACTTTTTCAGTTCAATTTTCTAAACATAACTCTGTTTATTAATTTGAAGTACGTCGTGTGAAGGAGAAAAGTAAACAACAAAAATTTCAGGCAGCTAGGCTTATGTTCTGTTCCTTTTCTAGCTGTTGTAACAAAATTTTCCCTAAAGGAGATTAATAACGCACAAGATTTAGATTCCTTTTTTACTTTAGACAAATATCTTCTCTATTGAATAAAAAATTATTCAATATAATTAAGTCCACTATTTTTTTGCTATGTTTTGTAGAAACCGGGCAAGAGAAGAAAACGATTAAAGCTTATGCACATCGAGTGAAACAAGAGGGTGACAATGTAATGTATGAGGCTGAATTTAAAATTGGGTCAGATTTTGGGGATCTTGGAGCAGTTCTTGTTGAGAATGAACACCATAAAGAGATGTTTTTGGAGGACATAGTGCTTGATGGTTTCTTCAATAATGGTTCTATTAGCATCAAGTGTAATTCTTGGGTTCACTCAAAGTATGACAATTCTCAGAAAAGAATTTTTTTCACCGACAAGGTGAGAATTCTCTATCCTCTCTCATCTATATATTTCTTTCATTCATTTTATCATTTACTTATCTTTAATTCTTTTAAGTATTTTACAAATTAATATATGTTTTTTCTTGGTGAAAGAATAACCTATGAGTAAAACTACTTTATTTTTCAAAGTTTTCTAATAATATCTTCATAAATTTATTTAATAATATATAATTCGGTAGTAAAAATTTATTAAACTCAATATTTTAACCAAAAAAATATCATACTAAGATTCTGGTTATGGAATGGAGGAAAGTAGTACTATTTCTTATATATTTGGAATATTTATTTTTAAAAAAATAAAAATTATTAGTAATTTATAACTGAGTCATCAAACTTTTATGTGTTTTTAACTATATCCTAGTTGCGGAGGCCAAGGGGCTCTCTTTTGGCAAATATTAAATAGTTTTTAGACCCCCCCCCCCCTCCCCAAAAAAAAGAGGTTTTAGATTGGGCTCCTCGCTGCAAAATTTTGTAACTGTTGCCGTAAAATTTACGACGGTAGTACAATTTAGTTTTAAATCATTTCAGAAAAGGAAAACACTTTTGTTTTAGATCCAACAATAATCATTTAATAGTTTTGACTTTTAATTCAGCTGTGACGGATCCAAATTTTTTTTAGATATTTACTTATAATATATAAAATTTTATTGATGAATTTATTAATTTTGTAGATTAAAAAAGTGTTCGTAAAAAAATTTTGAGTGTTTGATAAAAGTTTTTAAAATATTTTATTCTTTAAAAATTTTTCATGAAAAATTTTAGAAATGTTCAATGAAAAGTTTTTCTTTAAATTTTTTTATTTTTTAAAATTTGAGACTATTCATGTATGCTCTAATTTCTAAAGTGGATCCGTCTATGGATTTCAATTAATATGAATATTAATTATTACACTTGATTATTTTAATTTCTTAAATCATAAGTTTTTCTTTTCTATTAAAATATATTATCGCAAAAATAACGTAATTGAGAAAAGGAAACATTTTGGTGAATAATGTGGTGAAATGGTCCCCAATCATGGTTTAGTAGACACTGCAGGTAAGCCAAAACATTTTTGTACGTGAATGGTTACAAGTTGCTCTGACGTTGTTGTCCTTAGGTGGTCCACTGCGACAATGTGTTTTTATTGTTTCTCAGGAAATAATTTCCTCTCAGCCGACAAAGAACACAAATCTTATCATTGTGTCTTGAGTTTTAGATTTTTATAAATATGAGGATTTGAATATTTATATTAGGTTAAATATTGATAATTAATATATTTATATCATAAAAATTTGAATATTATAATTTATATTTATATAAAAAATTAAATATATATTTTTTATTTTATTAAATTTATATATAATTTTATTAAAAATTTAAATTATATTATTTTTATATCATATCATAATATTATTTTTAAATTATTAAATTTAATTTTTAGTAATCAAATCACACATAATATTTCTTCATACGGAATCATCTAGCCAAAATTTAATTGCATTGCTCTCCGTTTACTCTTTAATCATAGAATTGAACAAAATCAGTATGGTTGATCAATATTATTCCAATCAATTAAAAAAATAAAAGAAAAGAAAATTATGCAAAACTCTTTACGTTATCATGAAGTGTATTAGGCTTTTATCGAATAAATTTTACGGGAAAATTTATTAATTATGTGCATTAATTTTTCTTATTTGAACATTTAATACTTTTACCTGTTTCATATACTAATTTATTTTTCATGAATTTTTTAATTTGTTTACATGAAAAGACATAGAAAATCAAATTCGTGAAAAATTTTAAAAAGTTTAATATAAAATACAGTAAAATTAATAAAATTTCTTAAATTTCATGAAAATACATCTTCTTGAATGCATGTCATATATGGACAAAACTTTCAATTTTTTATACAGTTTTATAAAGGAGTCAAGTTTGTAAAAATTTGTTTTAAAAAATAATTTAATTAAATTGATAAATTGATATAATTTATCATAAAAATAAATAATATTTTAAAAATTAAAAATATTATTTATAATTTAAATTTAATCGATATTTATTTAATAGTAAAAATTTTATTAATATTTTTATTAAATTTTTTATCTAAAAAAAACTTATTAATTTTTTAAAATTATTAACACTTAACCTATATAATAATTTGGAGTGCTGGCTAAAATTTACCTTTTATACTTAACAGGACAAAATATTGAAAAGAACAGAAAAATAAAAGAGCCTTTGCCAATTGTCATTGTGGTTAACTAGATTTGTGCAATGCACGGATAAAAATTTTAATTTATACTAATTTTTAAATAAAATAAAATTTTAAATACTAATAATTGATGCACGGATAAAAATTTTAATTTATACTAATTTTAAAATTTTTTAAAAATCATTATACGCATCCAAAAATACTCTTATTAATAAGATGACTCTTGAAAATAATTATGAAATGATTTGTAACCTTTGAATGTTTAATTTACTAAAATTAATTTAAGAACCAAATTAAGATTAGTAATAGTATTTTAAATTAAGAGTAATTTATGATTGATAATTAAAATAATCAAACATATTATATATTTAACTTATTTGGGAGAAGTGAAAAAATAAGAATTTTGCAATTAGTGCAATAATGGTAATGAAATTCATTTTATTTGATATATGTCAAAATTAATTCTGATTGATTTGATCATCTTTTAATCATTTTAAAATCAATAAATATGCATATTAAATGTGTATATATAGCTTAACAAATGCAAAAAAAATAAATAGGCCATAGATTAAAAAATTGAAAAGTGAATAATTTTTTACATAAATGTAATTTAAGAGTTGAATATTATAATTGGAAAAAGAGAATACAAAATTATTCTATGATGATGACAAGTAAAGTTTTATTACCTTTAATATAAATTTAATTGGGAGTAATTTCAGATAAATAATAATAATAAATAAATGTAATTAATTTAATTTTTTAAAAATAATTTAAATAAAATAAAATACAGGACACATAAACCATCTACATTGAAAAAAATTTTCTTTTTCTAGCAAAGGCATTTACTTATATATATATAGACACACACACAAAAGATAAACTCAATATATTAATTTGAAAAAAAAAAACTAAATAAGTTTATACATGTATGGTAATTTTTCTATAGATAAATAGTGTCAAATGATTACATGTGTTTTCTTTTTTAAACATAATCAACAATTCAAATTTCAAAATTAAAATTACAAAATAATTTAATCTTTAATAAATTTTCAATTATTGTCCAAAAAATATTGTTAACTATTTCATGGCTTTAATTTTAGTTTTTTTTTTTAAACTTTAAGTATGAATTTTTTTTCTATTTTTGTTACAATAAAAATCATCTTAACCTTTCAATAGCTTTATTTTGTTTTGAGTTCTCTAAATTTTTTATAGTTTGATTAAAATAGAAAGAACTGATAGGTCAAATTATGTATTTAAAATTTAAAATTTATAATAATATGTAATTAAGGGAGAGAAAATTTTTCATAATAATATGTAATTGATTGATAGCTTAATCCTTAAGATTCACATTTATGAATATATATATATATATCTATATATATATATAAATATTATCTATACTATTGTCAAAAAAAATTTTATTTATGTAATGGTGATATGATGAATTTGACACATACAACAACTATTGTAATGAAACACCCAAATTACATACTATTACGAAATTTATTTGACAAAAGTATAGATAATATATATACTCATATTATATGTGGATAATATATAAGATTTATAGATGTAAATTTTATTTTATTCGAATTTTTAATAAATATTCAAAGATTACACCCATAAGATAAAAAATTGAACCTGAGATATAAATACTAGGTTGAATGCCTCCATAATTGCGTAATTATAATCTTGTATTATATTAATTGACAGCAGTATATACTTATCAGTACGAAAAAAATTATATATATATATATATATCCGTAATTGAATTTTTTTGCACGTTAAGTTTTATAACATAATTAAATAAATTATCTTATTTTTAAAAATTGTCAGTCGTATTTACCGTCACAAACGCCAAGCGGATTAAAGAGATTGAGAAAGGAGGAGCTGGAGGCACTGAGAGGCAATGGTGAAGGAGAGCGTAAGTCCTTTGAGAGGATATATGATTATGATGTTTACAATGATGTAGGCGACCCTGATTCTGATCTAAGTAAGAAAAGACCTGTGCTCGGCGGCAATAAAGACCTCCCTTACCCAAGACGTTGCCGGACCGGACGCCCACGTTGTGATTCAGGTAAAAACAAAAAAAACTTCATGCATTAAATTTACATATAAATTATACAATATTGATAATTACATAATTCTGTTAGAATATCTGTTTGCTCAAAATGATTAGTCTTTTTATTTTGATAGTTTCATAATTAATTGACAAAGAAAAGACGGGGTCTTGTTTAAAGCTGAGCTGGGCTGGCCATGGGTTTGGTCTGGCTGATCTTAAACATAAATTTTTGAATTAAGGCGAATTTAGTCATTAAAATAATTTCAATTGCAGATATAGAACCAGATTGGCTTAGCAGTCGAATCGCTTGTCCTTGACTTGGATCAGTTTTTTTAATAAGATCGCCTATGCAATTGACCTGATAAAATGTGTATTCACTTATTGTGAAAAAACCGATGATCCAACAGCTTTGTAATTGACCCGAATTAATAAAATAGGACTTTTCAAAATTATTTTTAAATTACACCTAATTTAAATTTTACATTTTTTTCATCATTTTCACTAAAAAAAGTATTTTTTTAAAATTCAAATTGTAAACTTAAATTTTTTGTATTTTTTTAAATAATAATGAATATTTTTAATTCTAAATCATAAGTTTTAGTTTATAGGATTACATATAATATTCATATAATCTATAATATAAATTTGAAAGGTATTTAACCCAGCTAAAATATACATTTGAAAGGTCTTTCTTTAATTTTTTTTTTCTTCTTATTTGAGATACTGAAACTGAGGAGAAAATTTTTTTTTTGATAGAAACCGAAGACGTGTTCTTCTTTTGATTAGTATGCACTAGTATTACTTTGAAATTATATATGTAATGATTGGTTTGATAAGTAATTTTGTGGTTCATAAATTTTCACCCTATCAAACATATGTGAGCAATTGTCGCCTCAAAATATTTTGATAACAAATTGTGTCATTATTGGAAGGTTTGGGGGACTAAAGCAATCTATTAACGTAGTAATCAGAGGGGAGGGTGGCTTCTGGTTGGCATTGAAATGGGGCAACCTTATCAATTAATATATTTTCTGTCAGTAATTCGCTTTGTCTGGAAAGCTAAAATTTCAAAGGTTAAAAGGAAGAACTCAAATTTATAGTAACTGTAATTGATGATTAGACAATTCAGATAACAAAATGCCGTAAAAATTAGAAAAAGATGGTCCTGCTCAATGTTTGCTTTGGTTTAGTCAATTTGAGCATGAGAGAGAAAAATGGAAAAGAGGGAATTTGGACCATTTAAGTTTTCAGATGCATGAAAGCCAACGATAGAATGAATGTGCAACCATTGTTTTAACAGAGTTAGAGTAGGAAAATAAACGGAAGAGAAATATACGAGAAAAGAAAAAAAGGAAGGAGAAGAAGGCATGAAGGAAAGATAACTTTTTTTTTTGTATTTTATATGAAGGGTGAAAAATAGAGGGAAGAAAAAGGTTAGGGGTAAAGTTTGGGGCAAAATACTTCATTGGCGGTTGATGAAATAAATTTTTTAAATTGTAAATAAAATTATTAATTTAGATTGAATGAGTTTTTTTTTTATTATTTTTTTATTTCACATTTGAAAGGATTAAATTAAAAAAAAGGAAAACGTTCAAATTCATTTTTTTCCCTATTTCTCTCTTACCAAACTAAAGAAATGATAGAAAGAAAATAGTTTTCTTTCCATCCTCACTCGTTTCTAACACTTTCCTTATTATGAAAAAGAATTTTCTTTGCTACGGAGAATGTTTAACTGATTAGGTATTGTTTTATTTGATGGAATACATAAATGTTTGATATGGGTATTGGTTTTCTTGATAAGAATAATTAAGAAATTCGGCTAAGATTAAAATCAATTGAAAGTCCATTGTAAAATTTAAAAGTACTAATTAAAGTTTTTGGAAAGTTGATACAATTAAGTTTGGTTTGGTTGGTACTTTTATATTTTATATATGTTTCTTGTTTTTAATTTATATTTTGTATTTTCTTTTTTTTTATATTATTAAAAAAGAAAAGAAATCCCAAAAGCATAAATTAAAAGGAGCAAAATTTGTTTTGATAATAAGATAAACGTTGGTAAAATAATGTGCAGACCCAGCTTCGGAGAAAAAGAGCAATATATTTTACGTACCAAGGGATGAATGCTTCTCGGAGGTGAAGCAGCTGACATTCTCGGCAAAGACGATGTACTCGGTATTTCACGCAGTGATCCCATCGCTACAGACAGCGATTGTAGACCGTGAACTTGGGTTCCCATACTTCACAGCGATAGACCAGTTGTTCAATGAGGGGATTGACTTGCCTCCAGAGGCTCAACAAAACTTGTGGAGATCTCTTCTCCCCAGACTTCTTAAGGCTATTTCTGATGGAAGTGATAATGTGTTGCGCTTCGAGACTCCTGATACAATGGATAGTGGGCTCTCTCTCTATTGCTCTCTCTCTCTCTCTCTCTCTCGGGCGCAATAAAATTTTTTTTATGAAACTGTTATAATTACTTGATTGTAAATGCATTAAGCATGATGCACATTCATTATTTATTTTTTACAGGAGACAAATTCTTTTGGTTTAGAGATGAAGAATTTGCTCGACAAACACTTACCGGAATCAACCCATACGCTCTTCGATTGGTCACGGTATGGTTTATACAGATTCTGGAATAAAGTGGTTTTTTTTTTTTTTTTTTTTTTTATCAAAACACAACTATGATCTACCATATAATTATGATAGGAAAAGCTTTAATTAATATTTTTTTTTCCCGACGTGAATTTTGAATGTGAGGTTGAAGATATTTGATATGCTGGTATATTATTATGACTCAGCCTAGAAACCTATACTACTTGATGCATGATAGGAGTGCAGGCATGGCGTAGCTTAGGCCCCCCTCCCAAAATTTTAACACCCCTTACATGTACATATGTACAGTACTCTTTTTCAAGAAATTTACTATTTAACTCTCATTCTCTCAATAAATTTACTATCTGATTCCCTTCTCTGTTTGCCTTGCCTCATCTCTAGGTGGATAGATCAAGATAATGTCAGTGCCATTTCATACTTCAAAAAACTTATTATTATTATATATATTGTTGCAATTAAACAAAAATAGATTTTGTTCCTTTTTTTTTCCCATCACGTGAGTAAGAATTGAAAAAGAAAAAGAAAATCCTAGAATTAAAATTGAATAAAGGCAAATGTTAAAATGTAATAATTTTTCTAATTTAAATAATCTATGACTAAATGTATAGCGCTTTTTAATATTTTTAATAGCTTCACCAATTGACACCTTAATGTCTAATATTTTTATACGAATTTTTTTCATGGGTTTCAGTTATATACTATATATAAAAGATATTAATAATTTATTAATTTTATCATAAAAAAGATATCTAAAACAAAATTTAGGATGCCTAATAATTTTTTTTTCAAATTTTGTTATTTTTAATTTTTAGGGGCCTTCATGGATACCTTACTTTTGAATGTGAATCCACCCCTATTTTTATAGGAGTTTGATTAAGCAATTTCACAACTCATGATTATGTATAAAAACAAAAAACCAAAAAAAAATTAATAACTTGTGATTACAAATACAAGAGCATTTCATTGGTAATTATTTTTATTATAATCTTGCAATTATTTCATCATAATAAAAATTATTATAGAGATTCACCATTTATAAATGTAAGCTCCATATAAAATTTTAATCAATTTTACATAATTTTTTTTATTGTGGTTGAATAAGTCTATGCATATTTTTCAATATTTTGTGTCATTAATTGTGTGTAAAAGATTTTGTAGATTGCTAGCTATTGGGTTGTTTATAAGTTATGGGCCATGCTAAAAGAAACACAAAGGAATTCAATCAGGCCCAAAGTTTTAACCGTTTGAAAAACATCCTACAGGAATGGCCGATGAAGAGCAAACTTGACCCTGAGATCTACGGCACTGCGGAATCAGCAATCACCAAAGAAATGATCGAGTGTGAAATCAAAGGTTACATGACATTTGATGAGGTACGACAGTATTCGTTCAAATGTTTAGACAAATTAAGATGGTGAATGAAACATTGTTTTTTAATTTGGAGTAATTTATGCAGGCAATGAAACAAAAAAAGTTGTTCGTTCTAGATTACCACGACTTGTTGCTACCATATGTCAAGAAAGTTAGAGAGCTTCCAGGCACAACATTATATGGATCACGCACATTATTTTTCTTAAATCCAGATGAGACCCTGAGGCCTCTGGCCATCGAGCTCACTCGACCACCCATGGATGGGAAACCAGAGTGGAAGGATGTATACAGAACTTCATGGCATTCCACAGGGGTCTGGCTTTGGAGGCTGGCCAAAGCTCATGTGCTTGCTCATGATTCGGGCTATCACCAGCTTGTTAGCCACTGGTATGTACCCTTCCCTTTCTACATCGATTTAGATTCGAATTTAGGATACAAAGTTTCTTCCCGAATCTGTGATAAATCCTGGTAAATTTGAACTAGAAGTAATGTTTTTCCATTAACATATTAACTTTTAATTTCTATTGCAGGTTAAGAACTCACTGTTGTACAGAACCTTATATAATTGCTACTAATCGGCAACTCAGTGCGATGCATCCAATCTATAGATTGCTCCATCCTCATTTCCGTTACACAATGGAAATCAATGCACTAGCTCGAGAGTATCTTATCAGTGCTGATGGGATCATTGAGTCCTCGTTCAGCCCTGGCAAGTATTCCTTGGAGCTTAGTGCTGTTGCCTATGACCTTCAGTGGCGATTTGATCATGAAGCACTACCTGCAGACTTAATTAGCAGGTGATATAATTTGTTTTATTAGATTCTCTGAAATGTGAGCCTCTGACCCTTAATCACCTATTTTCTTCACTTGTTTTTTTTTTTTTTTTGGTTCTAATTACCAGGGGGATGGCTGTTGAAGATCCAAGTGCTCCTCATGGCCTAAGGCTAACAATCAAGGATTACCCTTTTGCCAATGATGGACTCCTTCTCTGGGATATTCTCAAAGAATGGGTTTCTGATTATGTAAATCACTACTATCCAAATGCAAGTCTTGTGGAATCAGACCAAGAACTTCAAGCATGGTGGACGGAAATTCGTACGGTTGGCCATGGTGACAAGAAAGATGAACCTTGGTGGCCTGTCCTGAAAACGCCAGAAGACTTAATCCATATTATTACAACCATCGCTTGGGTAGCCTCAGGTCATCATGCATCCGTGAACTTTGGACAATATACATATGCCGGCTACTTTCCCAGTAGGCCAACAATTGCCAGAAGAAATATGCCAACTGAGGTGGCAACTGAAAAAGATTGGGAATTCTTCAAGAATAAACCTGAAGTTTTACTCCTACTATGCTTCCCTTCACAAATTCAAGCAACTACAGTGATGGCTATTTTGGATGTTTTATCAAACCATTCTCCGGATGAGGAGTACTTGGGAGAAAATTCGGAGGCAGCATGGGCTGAAAATCCTGTGATAAAAGCTGCATTTGAAAAATTTAATGGGAGGCTAATTGAGCTCGAAGGGATTATTGATGCAAGGAATGCAAACAAGGAATTTAGGAACAGAAATGGTGCTGGGATTATGCCATACGAGTTTTTGAAGCCATTCTCTGAGCCTGGGGTCACTGGGAAGGGGGTTCCATATAGCATCTCCATTTGAGGTCAATAACTCAAATGTTCTATTATGGGTATTATGGATATGTTCAAATGTCTTAGGGATGTTGACATTTTGTATTATGTATTGTTAAAACATTTTAAGGCGCATGCCTGTTGAACCAAGCTTGGCTCCCTTCAAGAAAAATTTTTCCAAGAACAACCAAATCCTTTTTTTTTTTTTTTTTTTTTGGATTTTCTTCAAAATTTGTTGTTTATCATTTTCTGTTTTATCTAATCTTTTATTTTATTTTTTTTCTTATTTGCTTTTCTGTCAGTTATTTATTTTTTATATTTCTGTCTTTATTTTCCAAAAATAATAAATCAATAAATAAAAAGATTAAAAAGAAATGATAAAAAAAAGAGAGAAAAAAAAATTGGGATCTAGGTTTTGGGTTTAAAATGCAAACCAAACCCAATTATACCACTAAGACCCAAAACAATGACCCAAAGCCAATAACAATTCAGACTCCAATGGGCAAGTTTAAAATCCTATTAAAAGCTCAAATTCTTATTACCTAGTTTTAAACTCGCGCTAATGTAGGATAAGTAAATAATTATAATTTTCATTATATATAATTATTAGCGTTAAAAGAATTGTATGAGTAAAATATTAGAAGGTTTATATTGACATAATAAATACATGACTATATTTAATATACTCACTTTTTTTTTTGGCAACGTTGAAAAGTCAAATTTTGATTTCTATGAATATTTAAGAGTTTTATGTAATTTCAAAATTTAAGGTAAAGAAAATTACTATTTTTTTCAATTCAAAAAATTAATTGTCCAATATTATTTTTTTAAAAATTTAAAATTCTATATTTGTGCTATGCAAGGGGCAAGTATATTTATAATCATTTTTGTAATATAATATTATTTCAAAATCTAATATAATTATAATTTTAGAAAATAATTTAAAATTTATTTTCATGATTACAGATGTATTGATAATGGTTGATAAAAAACTTAAGTTAGCCTAAATAATTTTTTATCATCATTTTATTAACAATTTAATAGATAACTTTAATTTGATTATTAAAAATGAAGATATAAAAAGTACAAAACAAAAAGGTATAATATAGATATTTTTTCTCAATAAAAAAGATAATTTTATTCATAAAACCAAGCAAATACAAAACTTAATAATCTCAACAAAGCAAAACTCTAGTGCATAAACAAAAAAAAATTGTAACAACGCCTAATAACACATACAATTTAATTTCTCCAAAAAAAAAAAAAAATCTAAACCCCTTGCAGTCTACTACTACCAATAGGTAAAAATAATTATATTTTTTCCACTCCCATCTTTTTTAAAGAATAAGTAATATCGTTGCTACTTTGCTTCCCCAAAGAATTGAGTAAAATAAAAAATTTCCATTTTTGCTTATAACAATTAAAAACTCTTCATCCTTTTAAGATTGTGAATAAGTGTTGAATATTTAAGATATAATTGCCACTTGAAATCAATACCATATATATTTACATAATTTTAAGGAGACATGGAAATTATTAATTAAATAACATTACACGTTTAAAAGAAATCAACATGGAAATAAAATTTGATTATAATTGTAAGACATTTTTTTTTTGTAATATTAATATATTAAATTTAGAACTTAACTATATGAATGTTTTCTTCAAATGGATGAAAAGAGTTGTATTAATATATATCTCATATTTGAACTTACATTAGAACCAAATCATTGGCAATTTTATTTCAATATTGTGTGTGTATTTGTTATGAATTAGTGGCATATTAATTTGGCATCTTGAAATGTATATATATCTAAAAAGGAACTGAATCAAGAATAACTATATAAAAAAGAAAATATAGAAGAATATAGAAAATTAGGTATAAAAGTTTCAATTGTAGCTTGAGTATTTCCAAAATTTCATGACTTGTTAAATGAAATAAGTGGTAAATTTCACAAAGGTGAGGAATTTGTTCCATTTTTATAAGATTAGTAAAAATTACAAACTAACACCCTTTACATTATCTAAAGCTTCATTCACTAAGATCTTAAAAAAATAAAATTTCCATATTTATTTGAAACCAAGGCGTGTTTAGTTAGGTCATAATTAACTATATCATTGTAAGTTGATTTGGCTTATAATACAAAATTTGAGAATCTTTATGCTTTTGGCTTTTAACCAAGCATAGCCACCAAATATGGTAGCATCCAAATTAATTAATCTTATTTGTTATTTGATTGTAAAGCTTGCAAATCAACATAATCTTATCAAGTAATTGTCCAAAATAAAACAAAATTCTTAAACCTTTGCTAACTAATATCTCGCAAAAAAAAAAAAAAGAAAAAAAAAAGAAAAAATTCTCTATCAATATCACATTCAACATATATATATATATATATATATATAAAGATATTAAAGATTCATCTTTAAATTATAAAAGAAAAAACTCTACTAAAATATATAGTTGATAAAATTGCTATTCTAAAAATCAACATAACAATTACACAAACAAAAAAAATGATTAAAACCTCAATAAACTTACAAAAGAGTAAGACTACAAAATAAATTTCTTATAGGATAACAGAGACAAAATTACAGTAAAACAAAATTGAAGAATGGTCAAATTCAATTTATTTAATATTTTATTGGAAGAACATTTATATTTATATTGCTATCAAGAGCTATTATCGTAAATATATTAAAAAGTTACTATTATTAACCATATAATAAAATAAGTAATAAAAGACATAGAATTAATGCAATTTTTCCTTCAAAATTGCAAAATTTGAATTCTTGCCTAATCTATATTTTTAAAAAGAAAACAAATTCTTCCTTAATTTAATGATATCATTATTATGAACCGATTAAGTGACTAATTTCTCTTTCTTTATTTACTACATCAAATTTCTTTTAATTTTTCATGAGTAATAAGAAGATATGTAAATATATTTATGAGTAATTAGCTTTTTATTTAGTTCCTATTTTTATTTGTATTATTGACCAAATTAATTGTAATTTATTCATATAAGGTAAATATTAAATATTTAAAAGGTAATAATATAATTAATTTAGTCTAACTAATTATTTTTTAAGTAATAAAAATGTTACTATTTAAAATAATAAGAATGTTTTAAATAAGTTAAATGCATTTATTAGAGAACACATGATGACTTTTAAACCTATCCATATGTAAAAAGTGTAACATTTATCAAAAGCTTTGACTTTTATATATTTATATATGTCGTAATGGTTTTGTGTCCGTCCGATGAATTTGAAAACAAAATAAAAAATATCAAAGTCATCACCAATATTTTTTTGGCTAAGTGCGATTAGCCACCTACTAAAACATATCTTTTTAATAAAGTTTTAAAATTAATTAAAATTTATTAAAAATATAATTTTACGGTCTACGAAACAGTCTGGGTTCAAGAGTTGATTACGCGTGGGGAATGATTAGCACCCCTACAGCGTCCCTTAAAAATGGTACCAATTAACAACGTGTTATCCTTTGATTTTGATAAAAATAGTCCAATTTTCGGTGTTCAAAAAATAATTTCCTTGATTTTTTATTTATTAGAAAAAAATTTTTATTCTCGAGAAAAATAAATTAAAACATTTTTATTGAAATAATTCTTAAAATGTTTCAGTACGTTGGTAACATTAGAAGAACTTTTTTCTCACCTAAAGATTTCTTAGACATCGCTTCTCGAAATAGCTTAGAATCTCATCCTCGGAGATCTGAATTTACTTTTTGTAAAAATTATGTCATGTATGCAATGTAGAATGTTATCATGTTGATGTACACATTTTATTCTCTTTTTTTTTTTTAAGAAAAGGGGAATTTTTGTTATATTGAAAATTTTATATAAATATTTCAATACACTAGTAATATTTAAAAAAAATTCTCTCACCTAGGGATTTCTTAAAATCTCTCTACTCGGAATACTTTTAAAATTCCGTCATCAGATAAAATTTTCTTTTTGTCTTATTTTTTATTACTTATTCTTAATTTATTAATTACTTTTTATTTATTATTATTTTATAACAAAAAAAAAGAAAATTTTTATTTTATTGAAAATTTTTTTATAAATACTCCAATACACTGGTAATATTTAAAAAAAATTATTTCACCTAGAGATTTCATAGGTATCACTACTCGGAGTACTTTTGAATCTCATCGTTGGCTAAAAATTTTCTTTTCCTACATTGTTTATTAGTTTAGTATTATTATTAAATTTATTTTTATTATCTTTAAAGTTTATTTTAAAAAAATTAATAAAATTAAAAAAAATTAACCACATATTTCATCATTTAATCTAACAAATATAAATATTTAAATATGCATAAATATTAAGAAAATAATATAAAAAAATAAGAAAAAATTCAAAAAAAATTTTTTTTACCTGAACCGGACCGATCAAAGCGGATCCGATCGGCTCGACGGTTTGGGTACAATTCGACGGTTCGGCTCGATCTAGGCGATGTCTGGTTGGTTCAGGGTTCAGTACCAGTTCGGCTTGGTCTGGGCGCAATATGGGTCTAAGGGTAAGTTAGATCACGGGTCGATTACGCGGATCTCAGGTCGGGTCGGGGGTTGACGGGTGGATCTTTGAGCTTAAAAATGATTACGTTTTGATCCTTTAATGAAACAGTGTCATTTTGGTTATGGTACTTTCTATAAAAGTAAAAAAAAAAAATTTCTTTTCTCATTTTCCCTTTTTTGCCCAAAAAAAAAACCTTTTGTTTCTTTTTTTTTTTTTTAGGCCAACCTGGGGCCGGTGTGCGTCCGTCGTGACGACTACCGTGGTCCTGCCGACGGTGAACTCCAACTGCTGTCGTTGGTGTCACAAAATTCTAAAAAATACCCACAAACTCCTTTCGACCTCTTGAACATAGATCCAACCTCTTTTTCATCAAAAATAGTCTCCCCTTTTCATATATCTGCTTTTAAAGTTTTAGTGAAACTATTTTTTTTGTATTCTGACTCTTTTTTTTTTAAACTGACTTTTTTTTCTTCTTAATGCAAGGGCTTTTGGCGCTGAGTTCCTCCCTGCAGGGAGGACTGAGCTTTTGTTTTTTTTTTTTGTATTTTTCTTTGACAGAATATTTTTTTCGTAGGGTTCCTTCCCTCTCCTTTCTTCTTTTTTTTGTTGTCCAGCCATGAGCTCTATT